TTGAGCACAAAAATCGATGCGTGGTTCTTGATTGGGTCACAGAAAGTCTTCGATTCACCTTTTGAAATTGTGACACCTTTGACTTTGTCAGAAGAATAGCCAAGAAGTGTGTTCATAACAGAAGAAGAAGCTACGCCAGCCTTCTGAACATGCTGGACGGTTCTCCACACATTGTATGATAAACGCTGATCTATAAGAGCTCCTCCGCTGGTTACAGCTATCGAGTTGAAGAGGGCGCCAGCTCCCGCTTTTGGGAGAGTAACTATGCTCACCATCATTTTTTACAGTGAATTTCAAGAAAGGATTCTTAGTATCAATGAAAGACATTTGTGTAGGTAGACGGAAGGAAATACTAGATTGATGATCTAGTTAGCCAAGTCCGTATTGAGTTTGACTGTAGAGTTAGGCTTGTTGTGTCTGACCATTTTTCCAGTTTCAAGGAAGGATCTCAACTTCGGAGAGTGAAGGATCAGTTACAGATCAAATTTGAGCTTCTATCTCCTTACGTTCATCAGCCAAACCTAGCTGAAAATGCCATCAAGCGACTTAGAAACAAGGCCATTATATTATTACAGGGCCTAGCAGACAAGACGCTGGCAGGACGAAAGATTTCGATAGATCGATGGATCCCTTGGTTTAATTGGCGTGTGCGCAAAGCGCATCAGATTCTTTTGCAGTACCCTTCCGAGTATGCCACAACGGACGGTAAATAAGCCGATGATTCACCTCAAAAACTGGGGCGAAACATGTTGCATTTTACTACGGAAGACTCACTCTAACCGAGCCGGCCCCGGCCATCTTCCCCTCCCTCCTCCCTTGCCCCTCGGGGCCCCCTTCCTCTCTCGCCCTTCGGGGCTTCGCCATTTGTGGCGCCGGGGAAGCTGATCCTCAGGAGGCCCCCGGGATTATCCCCATTATTTTATTACACTTATTTTGCCCAAAAATAGGGCAAAATAAGTGTAATAAAATAATGGGGATAATCCCGGGGTATATATTTACGGGGAGTTGAAGGCATCTTGAAGTCAATCAAGTTAGTTGAGGTAGATATTGAACTTCAATCTATTTTGTTGAAGTCGTTGAAGAAAAAATCTCAGTTAAAATAATGAAATGATTAGTTTGCGAGGCTAAAATAAGTGTATCCTCAGTTCGGCAATTGCTTCTGTAATGCTATAGCCTATAAGAAAAAGAATGGTGGTAAAATTGTGTGTGGTAGTATGGGTTGGAAGCGTTCGGGATCTGATAAGGTTTGGTGGGAGTATGGATAATCAACGTTAAGAAAAACTTTATAGGATATGAAATTTCATATCTTTTTTTTTCATTTTTTTCTTGTTTGAAAAAAAATGATGCGAGGGGAATACTAAACTGTATAAAAGATTAATAAGTAATCAATTATTAAACAGTTATAATAGAATACCACAAAATGAACACTCTCCCCATTGAATTGTGCGAACACATTGCGTCTTACGCTCAGCCTGTCCATCCGTGTCGTGAAGCGCTCCAAGACTTGTTTGTCAATTATGAAGAAGATTGTTATAACGACGACCGGTCTTTTATCACGTGGCTGGCTGATAGTAAGGAATGGGTAAGTTTTGAATACACCGCCGAAAGGGTTACTGGTGAAAGTGTGCCAGACTATGTAGAATATCTATATGAAGGAGTGTTTAAAGAATATTTCTGTGATTACATCTCTGAGGAATTAAATTAAAAAAAATATAAATTATGATCAACCTAACGGAAGGAGATATTCATTCTATTAAGCGCTACGATGTTATGGACCAGCGTGAAGCGCTTGAAGCGCTCTGTTCGCTCGTGGAGCACGCCGCGCGGCAGAAGTTAAAGTTTGCGCCCGCGCAGAAGCTGTCGCTGAGCTTGATGAAGTCGTCGGTCTTGCTCGGGCACTTGTCGCAGCAGGCGCTCGTCAAGAGCAAGGGCTCGGAGTTGTCGCTACTTTGTAAAATTCAAATTCACCGACATTTAATTGAAGGATATACGATACACAGCCCATCCCAGATGAATACAGATCCGCCTTATATTCGTGTAACTTAAATGCTTCATAATAACCTTTGGAATTCTCAGATGGACAATATACAGAAATTAGCATAAAAGCGTGATTGTCAGTAGTTTCGTATAGTTCCATATGGTCAAAAACAGGTCGGTCAAAATAGGGTAAATCAAAGTATTTAAGAAAGAGGTCTTTGTATTTATTTGTCTGCCGTTTAAGTTTGTAAATTTTAGCAAATAAATTACGTTCATTAAATACTGGTTGAGTATCGTAAGTTTCAGTGCCCCTAAATGAACATTGACCCCAATAAGTGTTTGCGAACAGTTTAGGAAATTCAGTTTTACTGGCGAAAGTGGGGCTCATCGTCTCTTATATCCTCTCTCTTCTCCTTCTCAATCATTTTTTTCTCTCTCAGAAAGACAGTGAGCTCAATAATGTTGTTAGTTATGGAGCAAACACTTCATTAACAACACCATCAAGCAGTTTAACTAAAACAATTAATGTTACATTTAAAGACGATGCCCCAGATGACCTGTATGCAGTGGTATTTACAAACAACAGCAATGTTACTGTCCCATCTGTAAAATCTCAATCAGTAGGAGGATTTAGTGTTACAATAGCATGAAGAAGCCTATCAATTTATACTAACCAAAGATGATGGTAACTATGATACGGATCGAACGAAATTACTACTTGGTCTTTATACCGAATTTCCTTTACGAGATGACTTCGGCAGAGTAACTTTTGAAGATAAACTTAAAGAAGGATTTAATTTTATGGATTTGGAAAATTCAACTTTCACTGTGCTTCCAAAGAAAGGAGCAACAGAAACGAAGACATATACTATGAGCCGTTCACTCACAAATCTCGTTAAGAACTCATTAAAGAAGTTTCCACGCGAGTTTCTATTCACATCATCCACGGTCGGACCAAAAGGCAACTGTGATAAACTCTTGACGCAACTGTTCAAGAAGGTGTTCAAGAGAAAAGTAACTATAAACGACATTAGGAAGGCATACAGCACCAATGCCAGACAAGGGACTGTAGAGGACGAAATTGAAATGGCAGAACAACAAAATCATTCCGTGAATACAGCCAACACCTTCGGCCCCTGGCAGCTGCCCCACCTACATCATGATGTCCTAAATATCAAGAAACCCGATTGTGAAGTATCCGGTAATTTAGAATATGGGTTGCTATTCAGTTGAGTTTGGACTCAGGCTGGGAGAGCTGAAGGTCCAAATAAATATGCCACCACTATTCATGCCGTTTTACTTCGTTGATTCTCGATAGCAACACTTTTGCTGATGGGAAAGACTGAGTGAGGAAACTAACAATTTAGCGGCTATGATGCATTCGTTTGTCGAGTCTTGTGACTCTGTTATGAATGCACAACTCGTGTCACCTGTAGACATGGTTATGTCACGTGTCATGTCACCATGGCTTCCTTGGGCAACCCGCGCATGTCCCCTCTTGTGTAAAACACAAACGTCAGTGGAGCTTTCGGCGTAGTTTTTCTTGAAGCCAAAATTTGTGAGCTGGCGCTGAAATGATTCCAATCTGCGATGACGAAAGTAGGTCGGCATCGCTTCGAGAAGTGCAGGAGGATTATTAGGTTTCCAGAGTTCCAGGAAATTAAATGGGCTTCAAGCTGAGTGACTGCTGCATACAGTCGTGGACCGAATTCTTTTTTTGAGGAACAGCCCGGAATCAATTTAGGATGGCATCTAGTTCGCTTGTGATCTTGAATCAGACGCTGTAGCTGAGACTTTTGCTCGAGAGTGAGCACATGAATATTTTTCACGTCATTGAGCGTCGTAATTGTCTTTCGTTGCCACGACCCTCGCAAGAATTGCTCAAAGATGCACTCAACATGATACCAGCTTGTTTTTGAACATTTCATCTTTCTGCCGATACGAGGCGTACCACGGGCAATCGCACAACGGCAACTTCGCTCCCTACACTTCGACCTTGAGTTGTTCGCGATCGATGCCTGCTAGTCATGAATTTGTTATTGTTCCTTGGCGCGAAGTTTCGACTACGAACCTCATATGATGGGTCCATATCATCTATATTGTCGAATCGATCGCCCGAAGAGAACGACGGCATAGCTGCAGAATGGATGGTGAATCCTACAAGTGCTTCCCAATGCGTTATACGATCTTTGCATGGGATAGGTCTCTTTTCACTTGCCTTAAGTTAAAATCGCGGGGTCAAGATAAGTGACCACACCGCCAGCACGCCGTCGACAGACGCCGGCTGGTTGTCGGAGGCACCGTTTTCGGAGAGTGGTTTAGTACCTCAGCCAAGGAAACTCTGAAGGTAGCACCCTAAGGAGATTGCGCTATCGCTATAGCGCCTGCGCTATTTGGGATGATAAGCGTAGAATTTATATTAACAATACATCATTTGCGCATATCAGAGCAAACGCTACAATTGAAGCAAAAAATATTGGATAGTAAGTGTTGGATTTTAGTATGGGTAACACACTGGTCTGAAGAATGGCGACTATCGAGGTCAGAACGCGAGTGTGATTAAGACAACCAAAATGCGCTTGGCGATCACCTTGCGAGCCTACATTCCGCTCCTTGGGCTATGCTACTGAATACGACACTATAGAAGAGATGTTAATGGCAGACAGTGCAAGAACAGCGCTGTCGCACATGGATGACCAAGAAACAGATCAGATAGAAGCATATCACCCAGAGTGGGACCCATTAAACGACAGACACGTACCGTGGTCCCCAGCGTTTAAGTTACGTGGATCTGGTGTGACGATAGGGAAAAGAGCAATGATGAAAGACACCAATGAGCCATGTGAGGTAGTGCAGCAGAAGCAGAAGAATCTGTCGGTGCACTTCCCACGCAAGAAAGAGATTATACAGGTAGAAGAAAGTCAATTGACACCATATGACTATGCCAAGTCGAGTGGCAGGGCTACATCAGCGGTTGTCATAACTGAACCTAAAGGCAAAAGCATGCCTATGAAATGGATGAGAAGAGTGGATCAGTTGCTGATCCAGAATATATTTAGCAACAAACGGCTGTATCAGAGGTTGAAGCGTATTAGCTTCCCCGAGGATGGAGCTGGTATTTCCTTTGTGATGGGCATAAACTGCAATACGGGAGTACCATACTCATGTATGAATGAACTGGCAATCGGAAAACTGTGGATGTTTCTACGAGATAGCTTTATGGAAGCAGATCAAGGCCGAGCTATTGGTAGCAAGCTAACAAACGTGCGCGTTACCATAGCCTCTGCCGACCACAGAATCCGGAAGCATACCCATGACTTAGGAGAAGCCACATGCATCACAGGAGGGATTCATGTGGGCGGACACATCAGTACGAAGGAACCAGATCAGGAACACGTTACGTGGGGCATCTTAACCTCACTCGATAGGCGAGACGGATGCGGAATTGGTCAGTGGACTGGATGTCAGATGTGGTCACTCACGTATTACTCGGATTACCGAAACCGGCAGTCGCAAAGGTTCGCTATGTTTATGATGGATTCAGTAGCTAATGGGGCTATCATTGGGATGAACGAGAAACAAGAGCAGAGTGAAGTCTTTCGAACGAATGAAGATAGTGAAATGGGTGTTGATCATACTGATCATAAGTACCCACCATGGAAAGATGCGAAGAGAGACGAGCGAGGTCTACCAGAGCCGTTACAGCCCAAAGACCTCGGGAATAACCAAGCGCTGGTTGAGAAAATGAAAGTAAAGAAAGCTATGACAAAGAGCTGGATGACGTGATGAAGATTATCAAAAGTAGCTTTCTAGTCAATCAAGATAATAATTGGCAAAAGCGACCAGCC